TTTCAGGCCTGATTACAGTTCCAGTGTGGAGTCTTACAGGTTTTCAACATTGGTTAGGATTTAAAAACTCCTGCAGTGTGAGCCAGGCATTAAAGGTGTAACCATTTCAATACTGTACTGAGAAAAAATAAATAAATAAAAAAATATGTGAAACGGTCTTGAATTTTCTAAAAACTGTAGGCCTACTGCTGATAAGTCCCGCTTCCAAGGAAATCAAATCAAACATTGAAAATGTGTTTTTACACTTTATGAAGGCATTATGAAGTCTCGTGGAAGTGTTTCCCTGACAATTCACACATTTAGCCAGTAGAGCACATCTAGGGCCTCCTCTCTCTGTGTGCCTCTCCTTTGCATGGCCTATGATTAAATTTCTTTATGTACTTAGAATAAATCCTGATTTAGTTAAAGCTTTACACTACAGCTTTAACAGATCATATCTCCAAAACTCATTTCCATCTCATGTCATGAAGCATCCTAAATCCATTGGGATAATCAGAGCAACGACATAAAATCTCACCAAGGAGGATCCTTCTCATGATCTGGCACAATCCCTATACGGTGCCAGTGCCTGATATCATTCCATCTCCGTACACGCACACCCACTTCATAATGTCTATTGCAGCACTGAGCAAGACATTATGACAGCTAAATAGCACTATCCCTACATCTATCCCTTAACCTCAACTACCAAAAGGAAACCTCCCTTTTAGCTTTTCAAAAATCAAACAAACAAAAACAGCAAAATGTCAGCATAATGTATTTTCCTATCACTGAACACAAACACGCACATCTTTTCAAATCACACTGGAAACAGAATCTATTCTTGAATGTGCTACAGGCATGCACATGATGCCACACTAGAGACTTAGATGAGTACCAGTACCACTAGCAGCTGATGCAGGAGAAGCCACATCTGATTATGTCAGGACTGATCATTCCCGCTTCTCTAGAGGCAAACATTCTCAACTCTGCTCATCTGAAGTTCAAGCTCTAAATCTCTCCCAATGTTCTGTCTACAGCAATACGCTCAGCTGGAGTTTCAGCATGTCTAAATGTCTAGGAGAAAAAAAACCCCAAGCAAGAATATAAGTTCAATACTGTTACAGAACAGTCCTCATATCTCAAGGATTTTTTTTCCTAAAGTAGGACGCAATTTGTTTTGCTTAAGCCAGGGTGGCTGCTCTGGCATTTGACATTGTTTGAGTAATCCCACATGAGCAGAGAGGGATGCAGGAGAACAGCTCCACGGACCACAATCCCACCGCTGCAGGGTATGCTTTTAATCACGTTCAAATACAAGATGCCTCATGCTTCCTAGAAATCTAGAAAATCACTTACTTCCTCAGCACACACACTCATTCCAACATCTCGGTTAGCATAAAATCTCTTCCTTAAACCTTCAAAACAATATCATCATTACTTTATGTTGTTTCTCCAACATTACTTTTCCCCAGCTTTAACTGTAACACTAAGTTAACGCTAACACTAAAAGGTCTAAAAAAATTCACAGTAAACGACCATTCATTAGGGCTGAACAACATTAAAAAAAAATTCATATTCTTTCATACTGCTCTGTCACTTGGTATTAATACTTGGTATTACATGTTAACTGTCCACTGTACACTTGTGATTGCTGGTGCCTCTGAGCCCTCTCATTGTCCACTAAACTAGCAATGTCGTATCTGTCTTGTGCACAGAGTTCACTGGGTAGGCAGCTGCGTGACAGATTAACCACTGTTCAGCACAATGCCTCTGCTTGGTCATTTTCTACAAAATTACATAATATTGTTTGTAAGAGCTAGGCAAACATCAGCTCCGAAAGAGGTCCAGTGCACTTCATCCTAACCAACATAAACGTTTTAAAGGGGAAATGCACTGTTTTTTTATTTAGAATTATAAATCATTGCAATGTGAACAAAGTCATTTAGCACAAAAAGAACAAATACTATCCAAATAAGCAGTGAACCTACTCATCTGTCTACAGTAGTGTGACATCTGATGGGGTACTATCGTACTATGAAAGACCGGTGTGGCTGCAGGTTTTAATTCCAGTAAAGGAGGACTGCACAACGCCAGTTGTTTTGAAGGCTGAGCAATTGATTAAACAAGTGGAATCAGGTGTGCGTCTGCTTGATTGGAATGAAAACTTGCAGCCACACCGGCCCTTTGCGGATGAGGTTGGACACCCCTGCATTAAACGCTGAAGATGTCTGGTTCCACCACTCTGAGCAATTCTGACTCAGCAAGTTTCTTTAGAATGGATCGTTTTGCATCAAGCCATGCCAAAGGATTTTATTTAAACCTTAATGGAAAATGGAATTTCCCTTTCACTCTCACTCTTTCTGGAAGCGCAAGTCTGCCACTTCTGCTCATTTGGATCTGATGGTCAGACTGTGGTTATCAGACTGTATAGCTCCAGCGTCTGCTGTAACTGCCAAAGCACAGAACACTTATCTCCAAGGATGGGAAATGTATGGTATTAAAAGTGAATACCAGTGAGACTTGGATTTCACCATGTTATGGATACTGTTACTGCACTAAGTAGCTAAAGGTGGAAACACCAGCAGGGTTTCTCACTACCTGAAAACGCTGTATGCAAAGTAATAAGAAGTATTATGTGCACAATAAAGGGAAGACTTAAGGAAGATAAAAGAAAACAATATGTCACTCTATTTGGTTTTATAAGTTTAAAAAGGTACCTTGTATCGTTTAATTTTGAAGGGCTTAGAAAACGTCCCACTTAAGAACAATAGTCCTCATTTTCTAACTGTTGTTAAGAAGAAATTTCTTCTTAAAACCCACTTATGCAGTTTTCACAAAGACTCTGACATTCACCAACAGAATCTACACACACTCTCAGGACCTTTCTCAAGAACATATTTAAGAAAAAACTCTGATATTTGCGAAAGAGGTCCAATGTCCATTTACCGTAAATCTAAACCTTCAAGTGTTTAGCATGCACAGGAAGATGATGCATACATCTACACACAGTTAGGGAAAATAAACTGGAACAGCAGTTATTTTTTTTAATAACACAAAAAGGAAAATCTTTAAAAAGGGCCGCTTGCCCAACTGTCTTACACCCCCACCTGGAATAAGAAGCCCCCTTTCGTGAATCTTACAATACACTAAAAGTATTATATTTTAAAATAAAACAGAGGTCTCTGTCAATTTATGTCTTAATAATAAGTTATCTCAAAAAACAATAGAACGATAATATATAAAAACACATGCAATGTCAGTTTTGTTATTTAATTAATGAAATACACGAAAACATTCTTATTATTTTTAACTTTTGTTTTCGTTTATTATTTATTATTATAATAAAGATTAACTGACCACAAACAATCCAGAAGAATACATCCTAGCAATGTGGGTATCAGTATGACACTTCAGATCACAGACATTAAATAGACCATAGTCGTTCAGTAAACGTGTCGAGATTAGATTTTAGCTCATCATTTGGTAAAGAGAGAAAATGAAATAGGTTGACATATTACCCAGGGGCTTGTTCCCCCTAAGTTACCCTACAACATTCTTTCTTTCTGACATGCATACTACCACATATCTACATTAGACACTCTTACAGTATATGGCTACCACACTCTTGTCCTCTCCCATGTATCTAAAATACTTTATCATGCGTTCTCTCTTTCTACCACATGTACAGCAACTGATCCACTCACATTAACTCTCTCATACACAGCTGTAAAGCCCTTGCAAAACACAGTCAGCAATGCTGAACTGCCACATACACACAAACATACACATGCATACCACTGCACCTGAACAGATATATAGATATATAATGTCAGTGAATATTCGTACCATTGCCAGTCTGTTTTGCGGAAACAAAGCAAAGCTGTTGAGATACATCAGCTTTATTTATATCAGAACAATCCGTCCTTTTGCCAGGCCTCCTACATATTATGTGAATCACTGCAAGCAACACAAATATCCACTGCTGAGACACATTTAGCTGAAGTGCAGTGTCACATAGGATAAGTAAGATTTGGTGAGGTATAGTGTATTGAGTATTGAGTGTCTGTAAGGGAGTTACATCAGGTCATATTTAGGAGCTTGTTAGAGTTGTATTTAAGGTAAGCTGGTGGGTTCCTAGGTGCAGATGTATGTACCACTTCAGGGTGCTTATCATGGGTCAGTTCCCTCTGTCCATTTAATCATATAATTAGGACATGATTATGCAGAATCCGATCCAAGATGAAAGGTCTACTTCTGAGGAGCCAGACTAAATGGCCTCTGGTGGCCAAATAAGAGACCAAATGCTGAACTATACTATGCTGAACAGGTACGACTCCTAGAGCTGCAATTAAACGTTAAACTTACTAATGGCACATTTATCCCGTTCAAAACATACACAGGCACAGAGTATTTTATCTGTGCACCATATGAAGCAAAAGTCAGTGATGAGTGTATATGTGCGTGTGTGTTTGATTACGAGTAGTGCTGTCTAACCCACTAAACAAACCGCTACCTGTTGCCAGGCAACATAGAGGGGTCGACTCTTTGGTGTGCAACTTGTGTCGTTGAAAATGTAGCACATAATAAATGACAGGTGAAAATCCACACCAGATCAGTACCATCCTACCATCTGATCTTCTTCGCTGTGTCCATCATTCTACTACATCAAACTCAGTGCTTGGTAGTGGTACTCTACACTAAAACAATGTCTTACAACCCTAACATAGCTTGTTTTGGTTGGACTGTTTAATCTCGTTTTTTGGGGCAACAGGGCACAGGGCTATTTTTTAAATAAATTATTAGACATAAATGCTCGTTATATACCAATAGTAAAACTAAAAATCAGTATATCACACCACTACCAATATAGACAAAATGGTGCTCAGCACTAACACATATAGATCAGCATGACAGGGAGAAAGTGAACAGTGAGTAGAAGGGTGGGAGAGGAGAGAAAAGGACATAATGAAGGTAAAGGGTGAAAGAAGCATAAAGAATTGCAAGCGCTTCTAGCTCACCTTGGGCTGGGCTTCCACCACCTCCACCACCTGGTTGCGGTTCATCAGGCCCTTGACAAGCGTCTCCACTTTGCTATTGTACTTCATGAAGAGCACGTAGGCGGCATAGGCCAGAAGCAGCCCAATGCTCTCCCCGTAGCTGATGTAGTTGTCCAGGAAGAAGACGATGAGCATGATCAGATCCAGGATGTAGAAGGACACGTCCCGGAAGAGGGGCCACCACGTCAGGTTCAGGATCTCCTTGGAGAAGACAGCACACATCCCAATCACAAAGAGAATGTTGAAGACAGCTGAGCCCACAATGGTGCCGATTCCCACGTTGCTGTGCGAGATGAACATGCCGATCACCGAGGTGAAGAGCTCAGGGGCAGAGCCTCCAGCAGCCATGAAGGTGGCCCCAGCCACATCATCAGAGATGGCTAACTTCTCAGTGATGACGGTTAGGGCAGGGACAAAAAACTCGTCACACACAATGGCCAGCGCAATGAACATGTAGAGCATGCCGATCATGTGCAGCACCACAGCACCCCGACGCCTTTCTTCCAGGGTGAACAGGTCCTCAGGATACTCCCCCTGACTCTCGTTGGCCTCTGCTGGCGCCGACGAACGCATGGCCTCAGGCATGTCTTCCGACAAGTTGCTGGGGCTGTCCACCTGAGTGGAGAGCAGTGTCCTGTGAGGGGCAGGGCCCTGTGGCACCTCCCACTGGGAGGCCGAGCTCCATGAGAAGAAGGCACGAAGGGAGAAAGAAACAGAGCTTATTGCTAAGAGGCCGAGGAGGAGCGTGAGCACTCGGACCGGTCGCAGCTTCCTCCGGCTGCATGGCGATCGCTGACCCATGTTGGAACACTCAGCTAGTAGACTGTGTCACGGCAGGCCTAGCGGGCTTATCACATACCATACATGCTGCTGCCGCTGTGCAGGAAATCAGCCGAATCCAGATGTCCTTCAGCACTCCAGTGGCTTCCTCATAGTAGCCTGGATAATAACAATAACAACAGGGGGAGGCGGGGTTACTGCCACGCGCTGCACAAAGTCAACAATATGAATCCAATCAACTTGCCATGAACACATACTGTATGATATTAACCGAGGGGTAATCTGTGTGTGTGTGTGTGTGTGTGTGTGTGAGAGAGAGAGAGACAGAGCCCGCCCATGCAGGCCCACGGGAAAGTCTCTCAGTGCTGACTGGCTCCTGTGCTCAGCTGTGTCTGCACGCTCAAGGTCACAACGAAACGATGCAATGTCAAAACCGCCCCCGACCGAGGAGATTAAATGCATCCGACGCCGCTCATCCCAGATTCAGCCACCCACATTATTTATGACCATCTCAAGCTTGTACGCTGTTTCTACGTGGTACCCATAAGCGCCTAAGACTCCAGTATTCCAGTAAACCACCCTTTCCGAGAAATCAGCATGCAGGCAAGCAGACAGGTGCCGGGTTTCCAGGGGTATAAAAGCACGTCAGCCCTTCCATGTTACTGTAGAAACTGTTCGGTACAGGCTATTATTAGGCTTTACATTAGGCATTACTGGGCTCTGCAGCAAAGAGACGAAAATTGCATTTACAGACAGGCACACAGATAGTGCTACACTGTCAAAATCAGCACTCATATCACACCCAGCTTACTGCCCATGAAAAAGCCCTCACCTAAGGCGCTGTTGTGGCTAAATTTAATAACAAACGTTACCACTATTTAACTGGTTAATTCATGGCTCATCTGTATAAGATGCCAGTTCAGTCTGGGCTGAAATAACGTCAGTCCAAGTCGTGCTAAAATACCACCTATTCAACACTAGAAAACTTATATATTTTTATAAAAGGAAAAAAGACCATTTACTGTTGATCATTAGCCTCAGGTCACACAGAGGCGACTCAGTTAGTGAACTAACTTACCTAGCTAGCGGTTAGTTAGTCAGTTTGCAGTACGGTGGCAGTTTTCTGAGGAGCATCTTACTCTGAAAACGTAAAAGACAACATGTGATAAAACCTCATTTATCACATGCAGTCTTGTGCCACCAGTCCTGTACAGGGAGAGAAGGATTTTACCTCAGAACCACGAAGCCGTCGGCGGTTGCTTCAGCTAAACGGCCCGTTTCAGTGTGTGAAAATCCGTTAGCCTGCATTTAAACTGGTCTCCCAGTTTCAGAAGGACACTCCGAACAAATTCACGATAATTCGATTAAATGTGACAGCACAATTTTGACAGTTATTCATCCAAAGTACGTGTTTGTCGTCCTGACAAAACAGCGCTCTCCTTTCACATAACGGTCACTCAGACAGGCAGCAGCTCATTAGCGTTGATTTAAAAATAAACGGTTAAAAACAAAGGGTCAGCGGAAGAGAGGTCGTGTCTCTGAAAGAGACGGAAAAACGATTTTTAAATGGTTCTTTGAGAATAATTACGCCTAAAATGACTATTACTGAATGACAACCTGACTGAACCCATATCAACAAGGAGCAGAACCGTTTAAAATAAAAAAGCGACAGAAAACCACTTTCAGTTCGTGTCAGTGGTGCTGAAGAAGAGCGAGCTGCCGTTACTGACATTCAGCAGGAGCTCGTTAGCTTTCATTTGAAAATGAGCGGTTAAACCGCTCAGTGAAGGAGAGACTGTTACTGAGACGAGGCTGAAGTCAGCTTCTCATTCGCCAGCGTCTTGTTCGAATTTCCCCGTTCCACCTTAAATGATGCAGCAGTTATTATTACAACGCCTCACGCGCCAGACTGTAACTGCTGCACCAATTAAGGTGGAACGGGAAAATTCGAACACGAAGCTAGTGAACAGAAAGCCAACTTCAGCCTCGTGTTTCTAAGGGAGATCATAAAACTAAATAATATCAAAAATACATACATGTGAAAATACATGCTTCAATTCGCCACTATTGAATACTGACACTGCAAAAAACAGTGTTAAATAAGGAGCGGAACCGTAAAATAATCAAATTAAATAGAAAAACACGGAGTTACGGTTACTCACCTTCAGAGAGCGTCAGCAGCAGCAGCACCTCGTTGGAAGTCCGCGCGCGCGCGTCCCTGCCTCGTGCACCTCTCGCTCGCGTTCGAGTGCTGTTAGGACGGTGACGGTGATGATGATGATGTTCGGAGGCGGAGCTCCGGAGCGCGAGGCATTTAGTGATGGAAAAGTTCGAATCGGCTCAGCGAACCGACTCGTTCAAACTGTCCGTTTAAACGAATCACTGATTCACATGCCTTCTTATTCCCTTCCATACAGACCGATCATCCATATCATTAGAACCAACCCACTGTTTCTACACTCACTGACCATTTTATCAGCTCCACATACCACACAGATGCACAGACTGTAGTCTATCTGTTTCTCTGTATACTCTGTTAGCCCCTTTTCACCCTGATCTTTAATGGACAGGACCCCCACAGAGCAGGTACTATTTGGGTGGTGGATCATTCGCAGCACTGCAGTGACACTGACGTGGAGGTGGTGTGTTAGTATGTGTTGTGCTGTGTCCAGTCACTGTCCACTTGATTAGACACCCCCATCTTGTTGGCTCGTCAGATGTAAAGTCAGACACAGTAGCACATCTGCTGCACAGTTTGTGTTGGTCATCCTCTAGTCCTACAGTGGTCCCATGTTGCTGTTGGCTAGGAATTTTTGGTTGGTGGACTATTCTCAGTCCAGCAGTGACACTGGGTTGTTTAAAACTCCAGCAGCACTGCTGTGTCTGATTCACTCGTACCAGTGCAACACACTAACACACCACCAGCATGTCACTGTCACTGCTCAGTCTGTAGAACTAAAGTCTGTAATTGTAGAGCTACAAAGTGCCCCTATATGGCCAGTGGAATTGAGATAATGGACAATTAGTGTAGAAACAAGGAGGCGGTTTTAAGGTTGTGGCTGATCAGTAAATCACATTTCCTCCACATTAAGTGAGATTCAATTCAGCAAATGAGCCTGATGTCCACTACATTTACTTACAGAATAAAAGTTCAGTTTGTTTCAATTAACCAGACCACCATTTATCATAATGTAATAAGGCCAATATTGTATGTTTGTTTTTCTTGTTTAATACACTAAGGACATGAATATCACCGTTTTTCTCCACATGCGATGAGTGATTTCAAGAATGAGTCTCTTTCTACATACTTATTAAACATATAATGCATACACATAACGCAAAGCAGCCAGCTACAGTCTAGTTCAAATATAAGTAAAAGGTTTTTTTTTTAATATGTTAAATGTAAAATGGGATTTCCACCAATTTTTCATATTTTCAAAATAATTCCGCCATTATGATGTAACAAAAGATGTTCAGAAAGGATAGCAAAAGTTGTGCAGAGATACTTTATTGTAGAGATTCAGATTTCTGTACAGTGGTGGTCATGGGAACCAGGGGTCCCAATGTCTTCAACACAAATATTACCATTCTGTGTACTACCCAAAACCACCAATACTGCAATACTACACATGTCTTCTGAGTTTTTATGTAATACTGATGATAGTAAAATGGTGCTAATTCTGAAAAAAAGAGACTGAGGATTTATTTACCCTCACAATGCCTTGAATGTACCCCTCCGCCATGAACAGATTAAACTAAATAAATTAATTGTAATACATTTTAGGCCAAAACCTTATCACAAAACTCTGTCATGAAACAATGTCTCAGACATCAGGCAGTGTATTACATGTAATAACGTTTTGTCAAGTACGTCTGGTTCCTACACCACTACTGTGAACAAGTCTGACAAGGAAAATTTCTCTAGAACAAAGCATTTCACTTCAAACCAGCCTCGTGACCCGGTGGACGATCGGTTTAGATGATATGTATTACAGCTCATCTGTTTATAACATACACGTAAAGTTGTGCTTAGGTGCTGTTGGATTTAGCTGGATTTGGGAATCAGTTCACTGAAAAGAACCGACTCCAATGAACGATTCGTTCACGGGGTCCCGCGTACCGTTACCGTGAAAATTCTTCTGTCGACGTTCACGAGGCGCAGAGTGCTCCATTAACGCGGGTTATTGTGTTGTGTTTGTTTTTATTTTAGATTTTTTTGATCGAACGAGCGGCGTTGCTATGAGAGAAGCGTTGCCTTGGTGACGCCAATGGCAGCGGCGGCATCCCCTCCCCACCCACAAGAGCCGCCCCCAGTGGAGCCTGATCACAGAGCCACACCGCTCCGCCTCAACCAATCAGCGCAGCAGCTGACAGAAACTTTCCCCTCAGCTCAGCGCTGCTCTGCAGGGTGTTCTCTGATCAGCCTAATGCTTATTTTATTCGGTAATACTTTGTTTAAACGTGTCTAAAATGTTTGTTTTGTTGAACTGGACATGAGTAGACATATGAAAAAGTCTCAGAACAAAGAATGTGTAACCACAGACTCGTTACATGGCTCTAATTAGTTACGTCACATTACAGTAACAGTTCATTAATATTTATAGATATATAGATAGCGAGGCAGACAGACAGACAGACAGACAAATAGATAGCGAGGCAGACAGACAGATAGACAGACAGATAGATAGACAGATGAGATGCAATTATTTTTTAATGTTAAAACTGATTATAAATGATTAGAATATAATTCAATAAAGATTTAATAAAATACAGTGCTGTGGAAAAGTATTTGCCCCTTTACAATTTCTTCTATTTGTCACACTTAAATGCTTCTGATCATAAAACTTCTTTAATTATTAGACAAAGATAATCTAGGTAAACACAAAATGCTGTTTTTGAACGATGATTTCATTTATTGAAGGAAAAATGCTGTTCAGTCCTACATGGCCCTATGTGAAAAAGTAATTGCCCCTCAGCTAGTAAATCAACCAGTTAAACAAAGTCAACTGACTACTGGGTTCAATTTCACTCGCAACACCCGGCATGATTACCGCCAGACCTGCTGAATCTAAAACATCACTTCAATGTGAAGCAGGATAAAAAGCAGCTCACGATGCTACATTCCACAGAGATTCAAATTCAGATGCGAAACAACGTCTTTGAAATCTATGAGTCTGGAAAGGGTTAGGAAGCCATTGGTAAGGCTCTAGGACTCCAGCAAACCACACTGAGAGCCATTATCCACAAACGGAGAAAACCTGGAACAGTGGTGAACTTTACCAGGAGCGGTCAGCCTACCAAAATTTCACCAGGAGCGCATCGACGACTCATCCAGGAGCTCATAAAAGAACCCAGACGAACATTTAAAGAACTGCAGGCCTCACTTGCCTCAGTTAAGGTCAACGTGCATGATTCCACAATAAAAAAAGACACTGGGCAGAAATGGCATCCATGGGAAAGTTGAGGGGTGCACTACTGACCAAAAACAACACCAAAAAGTCTCATCTAGCATTTGCCAAACAACATCTAGATGACCCCCAAGACTTTTCGGATAGTATTCTGTGGACTGATGAGTCCAGGGTGGAACTTTTTGGAAGACATGGGTCCCGTTACATCTTGCACAAAACTAACACAGCATTTCACCATAAGAACATTATACCAAAAGTCAAAAGTGGAGGTGGTAGCGTGGTGGTCTAGGGCTGTTTTGTCTGCAGGACGTGGACGACTTGTCATAACTGACAGAACCGTGAATTCTGCTCTCTAGCAGAAAATCCTGAAGGAGAATATCTGTGCATCAGTTTGTGACCTAAAGCACAAGCACATTTGGGTCATGCAGCAGGACAATGATCCAAAGCACATAAGCAAGTCCACCTCTAAATGGCTCAAAAGTTAAAAAATGAAGGCTTGAGTGGCCGAATTGAGCAGTTTAGATGCAGTGGTGAGACATTAAATGGGTAATTCATGTTCAAAAACCCTCCTATGTAGCCAACTTAAAACAGTTCTGCTAGCGATGTAAAAGACTAATCGCAAGTTTGTGCAAACATTTAATTGTGGTTGTTACTGCCTCGGGTGGCACAAGCAGTTTTTAGGTGTAGGGTGTAATTACTTTCTCACATGGGTAATACAGGTTTGGAATACATCTTTACCTTCAATAAATGGAATGATCATTTAAAAGCTGCATTTTGTGTTGTCTTTATCTTATACGAAATTAGTTTGATGATCTGAAACACTTAAATGTGACCAATGAGCAAAAATAGAAGAAATTGAGTGAAGGGCATCTTGCTCAAAATTCTGAAACTAAACAAATCAGTTTTTTACTGAAAATCACAAAGCCTCCGCCTCTGTAGCCATCTACCATGTGCAAATGTTGAAATGACATGGTCATGAATGGAGATTGTGCACTCAAATAGGAGGGAAAAATGTAATTTCTAAGTGTGTTCTCTGGGGAGGATGTATGAAGTTATTTTCACTTAAAAGAAAATCAACAACACATGCTATTTGACTGGGGGTGTTCAAACTTTCGCATGCAAGCACATACACTCCCTCTCTCTCATTAGAAGTCTGTGACTGATGGACACACTGATGAGTAGATAAGAATCGCGCGAGTCAGGAGTTTTTTTAGCGCTGTAGCATTTTCTAGTCCATCAGCATTAACCAGCTCACCTCTCTCTCTTTCTTTCTTTCTCTCTTTCTCTGTAAGTGAATGTGTGATGATTCAGTGTTTGATCATCCTGATTCTGATAACGAGTGAGAAAATGTGTGTGTGTGTGTCTGAGTGTGTGTGTGTAATGGCCACTGGCAGGTTTTACCAATCAGATCAGCTGTTTTTTCCACAATGGGTTTGTTGGGAGGCACGGGCCACTGGAGGAAAAGAACGGGTCAGTCATGGGACCGCTTTGATTTGGCTCAAATCCATCCAGGAACAAAACAACAGCGACTGACCCCATCTCACACACACACACACACCAAACTAACGCCCCCGCCGGCTAAATCCGGCTTTTGTGCTCCTCACAGCTCAATAGATCAGTCAGCAGCGAGGCGGGGGGCACTGGGCAGTTTCTGATGGTCAGTTCTGGTAAAGACAGACAGACCCACACTGCAAACAGCACTAACATACAATATACATTATATATACAGTGAAGAGTGTAACTATGCAGTACTGTGCAAATGTCAGAGGCCACCCTTCATTTGTTTTAAGTCATTTTTTAGGAGATATTTCTGAGGAGATTAGATAGAAGATAATCCAT